TCCTCTTGTATCTGCACTTAGACTGCTTTCTAGTCTCTAATGAATCATTGCACTTAATCTGTACTGATCCTTTCCACATTTCACCTCCAGGCTGCTACTTTGATTTCTGTGTTTTGTGGGCAGAAAAAGCATCAGTTTTTCCTCTAGGTAATCCTAGATTGTTCCAGATTGGAGACGCCCTCTTTTCCAAGATATGAAAATCTGAAAGAGTGGATACCAGGAAAAGGTTCTTTGCCAGCAGCTTGGCTGGGCACCGTAACAAGCTCCACAAGGAAGTGGTTATGTCATCAGTCCTGCTGGAATTCACAAAGTGTGTGGACAGTGCCCTCAGATGTAAGGTCTGCTTTTTGGATAGTGCCATATGGAGCCAGAAGTTGGACTCGATGGTCCTTATGGGTATGATGGTCCTCAGGATATTCTGTGATTTGATGAGAATCACACGCAGGCATCTTTGCCAACTTTTGAAGATCTTTACGCAGTTGTGTTAACAGCAGTCAAGGTCATAAGGGGTGTTGCTTCTACTAGCTGAATATTATGAAGATCTAAAACACGAATGGAATAAAATATGACAATCAACTACGAGGAAATGAACATTTTAAATACCAGCAACGCTATGCAAAATTGAATTCTGTTCTACTGTTTATCAAAGCTGTAGAGTAGTACAGCATATTAGTGAATGTTGATGTATATCCTAGAGATAGAACTACCCAGCATTTCAGATGTAGGAGAGCTTTTTCAGAAGCTAGGGTTCATGTGGGCCCACAGTTTGCTAACTCCTACAAATAAAACTGCTGCTATCACCTCATTACAAAGAACACTGTTAGTACCTCATCCAGCTCTCCACCCTGCGTAGCCAGTGACTGCCAGTTCTCATGGTGAAGGAAGTGAACGAGTTTCTCATCTTCACCTTCTCTGACCTCTTCATCCTGCCCAGGCTTGCTACCAGCTATGGGAAGTGTCATGCAGTTGTGAGGCTGTTTTATCTCACACCCTGTGGTTTCCTCCTCCACCTGGTGATCGCTTACCCTACTCCTCTTCTTAGTGATCTGATCAGCTATCAGATAACGATATGAACTCAGCATGTGTTGCAGTGTTGGCAGTGAAGCAATCTCAAGAGAGATGTTGGTGAAGGGATGTTGTCCTCCTTGCCTGCTCCTGCTATGTGTATTTTTTTAGAAGTAAATCAGTTTTATTCTTTTTTTTTTTTCTTGTCGTGAAGCTCAGCCTCCAGAGGTTGGCCACGGATAGTTAAAACTTGCCCTTCTCATCCCCCTGTCCCCTGCTTTGGTACAAAGCCTGGAAGAGCACGAAGTGCCTGGATTCCTAATAGGAGTCTTGTTCCTTTTAAGATGAGAGGCAGTGGCCTCAAGTTGCACCAGAGGAGATTCAGGTTGGATATTAGGAAAACTTTCTTCTCATAAAGACCGGTGAGGCAGTGGCACAGGCTGCCCAGGGAGGTGGTGGGGTCACCATCCCTGGAGGTGTTCAGGAGCCGTGTGGATGTGGCACTGAGGGATGTGGGCAGTGGGTATGGGGGTTGGGGTGATGGGTGAACCAGATGATCTTAGTGGTCTTTCCCAACCTGAATGATTCTATTCTACAATTCTAATGCCTCCTGGCATGTTAGTAGATGAGGGAGCTTCAGTGGTTGCTGCATATGCATCCCATGGGGAGAGCTGTAAATGTGCCAAGGGAGAGGCTGAGCCAGTGGACTTGGCACAAAACCAAGTACAACCTTTGGTCCTTGAAGGGTATTGTAGAAAAGATGGGAATAATTAAGCCCAGATGATTTTTTGTGATGAAGAAAAGAAGGAAGTAGGAGGTAACTGAGTAATTTGGAGATCTCTGAAGTTAAAAACTTCAAATTGTCGTGTCCATGCCTAGCAGCTAAAGTACCAGTTAATTTTTGTCATGTTAGCATGGGGATATTCGGGTATAACATGAAGGCAGCCTTATCACCTTCACAGATTGAAGGAAGGTATACGCACACAAAACTCTTTTCACGGAAATAAACCATCAGCACAGATCCTGTTTAACCTGAAGAATCCTATGCTGCATATTACTAAGACCTTCTGCAGGTCATTTTAACTATGGAGAAAGTCCTTTTTGTACTCATGAAATGCAGTTCAACTATCTTATCACTTGTCTGTTTTAATTGTACATACAGCAATTCAGTAAAACTTTAACACGTACGTAGCTGTATGAATTAACCCCGTGGGTTATCCCTGCTGTGGCAGCATAGCTATTTGTCAGCACCATTTTTTTCGCAGCATACTCTTATCAGGAAATAGTTGCAATTACGGAACTAAATCGGTATGTAAAAACATGCGGCGGTTTTCAGCTGCTTGGTTACTGTGGAGGCTACACAGCTCCTGACCCTAAACAGGATCTTTTTAAGAAAAAAAGCAGTGCCCCTATTCCTTATAAGGCATGGGCAGGCTTCCCTGAGCACTGAGAAAGGGGCGGTAACGGGTTGTTTCAGCAGAGGTTCTCCAGCAGCAGTCGCAGCGGAGTGAAGTTGCACTGAAATTACAAAGCCCTTCGTCTGAGCAGAGGAATTCAGGCAAGAGAGCGGGAATCAGGTGAAAACTGAAAAAAAAATCACGACGTGATCATGGGAAAATCAGGTGAGCAAATGCGTTCATGCAGTTGGCTGTATATCCTTGCCATGGCACCGCTCAGTTTTGTGCTCCAAAAGCGTTACTAAAGCCTCAGTGGCTTTGCTATGAGCAGGCTGCTTTCATTTGCGCGTGTTGCTGGCTGGGAGGAGCATTCTCTCTGACATAGTGAAAATGAGTCTGTTTTATTTAAAAAGTCAGAAAAAAAAAGAAGAAAAAGAATCCCCCCCCCTTCCAAACCTGGTCATTGTAGAGGTAGTTGTATTTTCCTGTATGGTTTTCATTTTGTCGCTGGTAACAGATGTGTTCCGCTGCATGAGTTTTATGGCATTCAGAGAAAGGATCGTTTTAAATCTAGTAGCTTTAAAGCTACACTGTGTGTAACTGTCTGGCAAAGCTTCTTTACATTGCAAATCATCAACGAACTGCTTGGAGAGGGAAGATGTTTTTATTGCCTAGCTTTTAGGATTTAGATTCAAAATCTGGTTACAGTTTAACCGAGTGCTGTCTGACTGAGCTCATAAGTTTTTCTCCAGCTGTGCAGATTTTTGTCAAGCCTCTTGTTCCTGCCGGCTGAGGGCTGCCTTTTTGGGCTCTGTTCATTGCCTGTGTGCTTGGGTTTGTGTTCTGAGTAGAAGAAAATCCCACTGAAGCTGCCTGGAAGTTGGAGACTTTAAAAGGAGAGGTCGCCATGGGATCGGTCCATCTTTGACCCACTAGTGCCACAGGGAATTTCCTGCAGACAGAAATGTGTCTAGAGTCTGAAAATCCACACTCATCTTTTGAAACTGCAATGAAACCAAATAGCTTGTTCTTGTGTTTGGGATGTTATTTCTGTAACTAATCAGGGCTTGGTAGCATACTATCTGCCTGCCCTATCCATCAGTAGCACATATAGGATGTGCTCGGTGCAATCTGGTCCTTTGTTCACTTAAAAACATGAAGAAACTCAGGGCTAACACTTGAATGGGCCTCAGCATGCAAATGTGCTTCCTTTTTATTTGATTTTATTTTTGATTTTTTTAAAGATCAGCATCCCAGTTGAGGTCTGAGGATCTGAGCCCCCTGAGAATGTGGTTAAGGGCTTGCTCTAACTCCGTGGTATGTGGCAGCAGGCCGATACCCAGCCCAGGCTTAGCACCACCTAGCTGCCAGTGCGTGGGCTTGGCCCATTTCCTGGAAGCTGTGTGCTTTCAGATAGGTTAGGATTTAGTAAGTGATCTTACAACCACTTAAATAACTGTAATTGCTAGGAAGTAGCCAGTTCAGCAGTTCCTTGCTAACAGCATAAGCAGTATGAGAGCCAGATGAGCCTTGCATCTATGTGTTCCATTGGCACAGTTAACAGGGCAAAAGCAGCAGAGGTTTCAATGTGCCACTCCCAACCCCAAACTGATATAAATCTCTTGTTTTAATACATGCACAATCTCTGTCTGCAGATTGCTGATGCAGTCATAAGGCAATTACTGTCTTTAGCAGTTATTTCCTGCACATTTGTTAGAGCACATCGGTTCTTTGTTCCAAAATTAGGAGCAATGGCAGACCAGAAATTCCTTTCACTAACGTTTGGGTATTGTTTGCTACACTGAGAAGTTATACAAATAGAGCTTCTAAGTACAGGTTTCTAGTTTTTTTTAAGCTGTGTCATACTTTTCAAGTTAATAGTGAACTGGGCCCTGCTTGCTGCTGTTTGAGCTATTTAAGCTGTACGTTAAGCTGAGATCCTGTCCTAACAATCAATTCATTGACTAAATCCCATCTGCCCTTTCCACCAAACTGAAGTCTCTAAATTCCTTTCTGAGATTGATGTTTGCCTTTGCATGGGTGAGAGCAGCTATTCTGAAGAGCACAGCTCAGTGTTTTGTGTGAGATATTTCCCGCTCTCGAGGACACGCAGCAGGCACAGGAGATGCGCAGAGATTTGTCTCTGCTGGGACATGTAGTAGAAATGTAATGGGTAGGGATCTGCCCGACCTCTCAGTCACATGCAGAGCAGGTGCTCCTTTCCTGGATCAGAAGAATGAAGAGATTGCCTGAAGGCATACATGTAGGTTTGTTTAGCTTGGAAAAGAGGAGGCTCTGGGGAGACCTCATTGTGGCCTTCCAATACTTGAAAGGAGCATATAAAAAGGAGGAGGAATTGCTGTTTACGAGGGTGGATAGTGATAGTCCTAAAGGGGAATGGTTTTAAACTGAGACGGGGGAGGTTTGGGTTAGATATTAGGAGGAAGGTTTTCACACAGAAGGTGGTGACACACTGGAACAGGTTGCCCAAGGAGGGTGTGGATGCCCAATCCTTGGAGGCATTCAAAGCCAGGCTGGATGTGGCTCTGGGCAGCCTGGTCTGGTGGTTGGCAACCCTGCACATAGCAGGGGGTTGAAACTCAATGATCATTGTGGTTCTTTGCAACCCAGGCCATTCTATGATTCATTCATTCTATGATTCATGTAGGGGGATACTCTAATTCATGTGAACTGGGCACTCTCTATTTTAGAACAAATGTCTTCAAAACTGTTTCTTTAACTCTGTATCTTTGGTGAATTTATCTTGAGGTATAAGTATCCCTTTGGAAAACCAGCTCCGCTGTTTAAAATCTCAGTTCTTTGCAGGCATCTTGGTTGGAGCTCCCTAATAATGTATTGTTTCTAGCTGTTGGATTATACTTAAAGCTGTATTCTTTCCAAGTATTATGACTAAAGACTTTGCATTGGTTTTGCTTCACTTAGTAGAACTGAGAGACATAACATAAGACATCGGTACCTCTGGCAGCCTTTTTCCTTGGATGCTGCAGGCTGCTGAAACAAACGCATGCTGAAACTCCCCTATCATAGAGGAGTGCCTCCCCTGGCTGTAACTGCTGCAAACACTCCAGCCAAATGTGGGGACCTCCTGTATCCTCCCACTAGCCTTCTCCTTTTGAACAGCATGTGGATTAGCAGGTGATGCAGCCTCCTCTCCTCAGAGAGCCCAAAGCAAAAAAAAAAACCAAACCAAAACAAAAAAAACCATCAGGGAGTATTTCAGCAGGAAATGAGCCGATGGTGAGCTGGCTGCTCTTTGTTGCTGTGTTGCTAGGGCTCCCGTCGCCGCATGGCTCTGACCCTATGCAGCTGTGCGAGGAGGAGAACGGGGTCTGGAGCAACGTCATCCCAGAGGGGATATCCACAGCAGCAGCTGCCTGGGAGCTGGGAAGGTGGCAGAGAAAAGAAAGTGTCATTTCTTCCAATCCCCCTCCAACCCTGTGTGTTGGGAAGGGACCTTGCCCTCCTTGCTTTCTAAAAACTAAGTGGAGGAGGTGGGGAGGGAGTAATTTGCTCTTTGACTTCTGGATGGTGAGTGCAGAATGCTCTCAGACAGAGAAGAATGAGCTCAGTAAGTACTGAGAATCTTTTTACAGTGCTTGCTTTCCTTATTTTCTTTCTTCCCACCATCCCTGCCCTTTGCAAATGTGGGTGGGACTCCAAAGAAGTGACTGGGAGTTACCCACTGCTGCCTGTTGAGTCTGTGCAAAAATAAATAGGGGCCAAGAAAGGGCTTTAACAAAGAGAAAAGAGATAGGAACCAAACTCAGTGCTTTTTTCCTTATTGCTTTTAATCTCCCTTAGAACTACATGCTGCTTTTAACTTTGAAGATGCATCCTTGGAGCATGGCATAAAGGACTGTAGTGCTTTCTTCAGAATGAGCTGCATCTCCAGCTAATGAGGGGTGAGAGTTTGTACTGCAGCATCTCAGGAGGAGACAGCTGTAGCAGCTCCTAACAAAAGTACAGGTATACAAGAAAAATGACCTGTCTGCTTTCTGAGAAATGTGATGCAAGCTGCCAAACTGACAGCGCATTTTGTGTTGTCTGGTTTTACAGGACCTAGGGGATAGAGAAAATGAATGAATCTAAGCTGCTGGTAACCAGGCATTCATGTTGGGTAATAATGGGGACCATGCAGAACTTAATGCAAGCTGCTTGCTGTTTCTTTCTACACCAGAACTGAATTTGAGGAGGAGTAGAAAAAGAACCTTTAAAAAATGTAGCTAATTTAATTAAAAACTCTTCACTTCTCCAGCTTTTGTGTGTAAATGATGCTAATTATTCAGTTCAAGTTCAATAAATGAGAAATAATGGAAAATTCTCCAGAAAGACGTCAGGCTTTGGCAAACATTATTTGATGCCTAATACTTACTTGTATTTTGAATAAAATCATGCTTTGGGCAGAGTGGAGTGGAGGAGAATGCAGAAACCATCATCCTTTGTAAAAGTGGTTGCTCCTGTTTGCTGTTAGATTGGCTTCTAATGTTCAAGGCAGACAAGTACCAGAAGTGGCTCGCAAAGAGTGAGACACAACTTGATGGTCTATACTAACCAAGAAACCTAGCAAGGTTTCTCATGCCATGTAGTTGCCTGTCCAAAAACATCAGCTCTCCTTTCTGGATCCCCCAGGAAATCATCCTGAAAAAATAATTAAGCATGACAAAAACTTATTTCTGAAAGTGAGTGAAAACATTCAGCAAAGCTTTGTTTTCTATCAGTATAATTGATACATTTGGTAGTTTCTATCTTGTTTGGATTTGAATTTGTCTTCGTTGCTGCTCTTTGTACAGGAATGGAAAGCATGAGAAAAATAAGTCACTTGACTGTAAGTATGGAGTTGTTCATTACATATCTCCACAGGCCAGAAGAATGTTTCAGATAGCTGTTTTGGTAAAGGCCATTCTGTTCTCCAAAAGATTAGCTGAAGTTTATCTACATTATGTTTTCACAGGCAAATGTAGCAAGTTCTGCCCAGTCTTTGACGGTCTGAACAGAAACTGTCTCTGAGTCAGAGTGTGTGGTCTGGCTGAGGAGGAGGAAGCAAGGCCAAAGCGTGGCTAATAATTCTACTCTAGAACTGCGTACTGTAGATTTGAGCCTGTACAAGACGGCGAAGTCTTGGGTGTTTGGGAGGAGGACAAGATGGGCCTCTTTAAGACCACTGCAAACATTATTTTTCTGTGTTGACTGAGCTGAAGTTAGCAGGGTAAATCTTGGCTTTGAATAGAAATCGTGTGGACTTTGCCTGCTCTCAGCTGTAAGTATGCTTGTTAAATAGCTGCAGGAAATGATGACATTAGCTGTCTTTCTGAAGGTTTGCAATGCCACCAGAGTAGCAGCAGGATTTGGAAGCCATCCTTCTAATTCTGATTGTGACGATTGTCCCTGCACATCACAGAATTGGAGAAACCCAGGACATCTAGAGTTGGAAGAGATCCACCAAGATCATGGAGTCCAATCCCTGGCTCCACACAGAACCACCCAAAATTCAAACTCTATGTCTGAGAGAAATGTTTAAATGTTGCTTGAACTCTGGCCGTGCCCACTGCCCAGAGAGCCTGTTCCATGGTTCCACCACCTTCTGGTGAAGGACCTCAGTAAATACAGCATCAGGGAGGGAAGAAGAGAAGAAAAAGAAAATATTGCTTCACTTTTTCCTCCTGTGTATTGTGGTCAGTAGGTCACCTGGGACTTTGCTTTTCAAATCATATGTACTCTAGGAATTATGTCCAATTATATCTAAGAATGTAAGGCCTTACTAATGAGAGGGTTTCCTTTTTAAAAAGGTTATCAGTTTCCTCACTGTCTATCAAGAGTGTGCATATGTGCGTCATCGTTACTATACTGGGTTGTCCCCCAGAATAGTGATAAAATAACACTTTTTGATTGTCTCTTATATGCAGAGTCAACACTGACTTCTCTAAATTTGATGAGCACATTTCCAGTCTTCTGCGTGATAACCACTCCATGATAGCAGCTGTTTGTTGAAAGGTTTGAAGATCTCACTGTTTGGAGGGGAGAAGGGCTCCAAGCAAAGCTCTTCTTTCTCTCACACCCTTTTTCCCCCAAAAATGAAAGCAAGAACTTTTTCAGTAACTTCTGATTAGCTTTTCTTTATTTATTTTTTTCTTCCAAGCTTGTATATAAGAAGGCTCTGCTGCTTTTCTGAGCTGTGCAGTTTCCAGGTTAGCAGGTGTTCCTTTTTAATCAGGGGAGTCATTGCCTAACGGTTTATAAAAGGTCTTAAGTGAGGAAGTAATCAACACTGTCTGTTATGGCAAGAATAGAATTTGCAATCAAACAGTGAAATGAGTAATGTCATTGAAACATTATTACACCAGTGGTTTTACATTCTCAGGCAGTATGCTTCAAATTGAAAATGGGAGGGGAATAGCATGCTATGTCACATGGAGCAGGTAATGCAAGCTTATTAAGCTGCCAGTTTCCTGTAGAGGAAACTTGGGTAATAAAATGAGTAGGGAGTGTGTCCATCTGATTCAGTTAACTTAAGCATCTTAGTATTGTCCTGAAGCTCATCCCAGTGGTAGTGAGTGAAGGAAAAGTTAAGGCATAACTGAAGAACATCAGAGAGTCTTCTTCCTGAAGAGAGATCTCCTGAACTGAAGGGAAAATTATTCTATTTCTGCTTAAAAACAAGAAAGTTGCAGGAAATTTCTCCCACTCAAGCTTGTATCTAACTCCATACCCCAATTTCTTTAATACTTTTAAGCAATACTTTCTGTTAAGTATGAAAATTCAGGTTGGAAAGGAAGTAGTCTAGCAACAGCTATGCTGAGCACAGGGAGTTTGGCACTGAAGGAGATCAGGTTTTGTGTTTGGAAGTGATACATGAACTGGAATGCCTAATCCATGCTCACAAATGACGTTTCTAGAAATCACATTAAGGGCCAGTCTTTGAAGAAATTTTTATCCCAGATGAGGAGCAGAAAGGAGCAGTTAAGTACATGGAATAAGGAAAAAAAAAGGTAATCTTTGTGGCATTGCAGAGGCCACCCAGCACAAGATCACTATGGAATGTTTATGTCCTCAAACCAAAACACAGAGTCAAAATGTAACAGAAGTGTACCTGCCTTCATTTTAAGCTTTCCCTGCAAGCTAAATATCCAGCATTTCTCCACTGAAGAAATTGTATTCTCACAGTGTGAAATATTCAGCTGTAGCTAGTTTCTAGAGAAGCATTTCAAGAGAAAATAAAGTTGCTGATAATATATTTGCCAAGAATCTTCGGTATTAGGTGAGAACGTGGTCATTAGCTGAAGTTGCTTTTACTTAAGAATTTTGTTTGTTTCCAATCTGTTAATAAACTTTGAGAAGCTTGTCAAAATACGAGTATCCTTAGTTATCTGGGAAGATAATAAAGGACTTCTTGATATATTTACTTTGCAGTTCCTAAAGCTTCCAATGAATTTTCTCATAAAATTGTTGGGCATATTAAGAACTGTGTTTGCTGCATCATCTTTCCACACTCCATTACTACTGTTAGAATAGAACAGTTTTGTACAGTCAAAGGAGACTGTAAAGCTTTTAGTATTAAAGTAGACCTGCGCTTGATCTTCAAACAGTTACCTTTATATGTGTTTTCCATACAATTTGCATTTGTGTCTGCTCTGTGCATTCTAATATTTGGCTTCTTTCTGCCTGGAGAGTGAATGTTCCTCCCTGTGTTCTGGGCAGAAAAGAGTGTATGGTGGGTTCTTTGAAACATACTTAGCATCTTTCTTCAGAAATGTGATTCTAGCTGTTACATGAGTACATCTCTTCTTATTTATTTTGGGTGATGCACATGCGGAGTGGAAAGGTGAGGTCTATGTCATAATTTGAAGATGAATTGGGTATATTTCTGTGTAGGATTCTATGTGAGGTCCAGTTCTTGTTGCATCATCTTGCAAGGTTCAGCTGGTGACTGCAAAGATGACACAGAGCAGTTTGGTATCGTGGAGAACGTGTTGGGTAACTCATTTCAGTTGTGATGGCTAGTGTAAGGGAATAAGAGAGTAAGAGAAAATCTGACAGGAAAAGTCAGCCTAGATGCCTCTGCTTACTTTTCCATGCTCACATGAGCAAAACAAAACTGAAAAAGTCTGAAGAAATCTGCCAGGTGTGCTCTGTACCACATCATGGGCTATAAATTCACTGTTGCTTGCTGTCATATCTTAAAACAGTGTTCCAGAAGAATCCACAACAGAGGTAAATATTTGAATAATGAGAAACAGGCAACTGTAGATAATAGCATTAATTGTTTCATGTAATGCAATGATTCATGTCCAAAACCAACTTCCTTGCAGTAGGAAATATTTTTTTCTAGAAACTTAAGCAGTCTATGTGAAGGGAAAAAAATGTACATCTCCAAAGCTATTTGGGAAGCTGTTCTCATTTGAGTGGGAGCCTGAGAACTCCTGTTAACTCTCGCTTTTAATATCTGGCTTCTTGGACTATGGAACGCTGATTAAAATGGAAAAACTTAACAGATATTCTAAAACGAATCTGTAATGCCTTTGGCAGCTGGGCGTCCCTCTCCACGCTTCAGAGTGCAGAGGAGAACGAGTGGGGAGAGGGTGGTTTTTAGCACATGAGCTTAAGTCACTGTAGAGAAGTGGTTCTGTAGCAGACACCTTGGGAAAGGAAGGGAAAGGAGAAGGATGGGAGGGATCTCTGAGCGCAGAAGAGAGGTATCTCCATGGCTAGAAGAAGCCATGTCCATGTTTTGTTGATCTTTGTAATTCAAGTTGTTAGTACAGAGCTGGATTGTGCTACATGTCTATTAGTGGCTGGCATTTCAGTCCAGTTCAAGCGTTTGTTTCCTAGAAATTTAATTTGTTATCATAAGTAAGAACAAATTATTTAAATTAAAACTCTCACATTTGCAGATCGGATTGTATGTGTACTCTTTAATGCTGAGCTGATGAGAAATTAAGTCTAGGTGATAACAGTCACAAACTCCTATGCAGAAAAATGCAGCCTGGAGTATTTGATGCAACTTCCAAAGCTGTGCATTTCAACTTTTTTGATTAGCAAACTGTCTTAAAATGTCTCTGCTGGAATCTTGGACTCCCATATCAGTTAAGTCAGTTGGCTATAGGCTTGCCTTCCTCAGTAACCTGTGATAAGCACCCTTAGAAGTAGGCCATGACCTACAGGCCGCACACTAGATGAGAGTTTTAAGATTCTGGCTCAATGGAATCAATTAATGACAATAAGGAGGATGAAACTGTTTTGTTAGCAAAGAGTGAGTGGGTGCTTAAACACTGAAGTAGAGATGCCTGGTTTCTTTGATGGTATGCAACATGTGGCACAAAGTTGAAGGAAAACCTAAGAGCGGGAATGTGATGGGCAGATACCATTTCAGCAGGATTTCTGTTGGCGAATTCTCAGCTGTCTTATGACAACAATTTTATACAAAATAAATAAATATAGCCTGAAAGCATGTTGTTGGGGAATACATTAGGTACATGACCACAAAAACACTGTGGTTTTTTGTTGGTGGAAGTGAGAATTGAACTAACTCAACTCCGTATTCTGTTCAAAGTTATGAAGTACTGAGTGAAACGATAATGGCTTTTTATGTGCATTTAGACATTGTGATTATTTTAGGTCACCATATTATCTTAAGGCTGTTGTTAGAACCAGTGAAAACTCTGACAACAGCTAAAAGCACAAGTGTGGGCTGGGTAATTACTTTAGAAAAAAGTTGCAAGAACAGTATATGCAAACTGACAGCTATACTGGGGGAGAATGCATCATTACAAACAGCAGAAGAGTGTACATGCTAATAAAGGAGGAGATGAGTGATTATAGTTGTTAAAATCAAGCAATGAGAGGAACTTGAGAAATCTAAGATTAACAACAGGAAAAACTTTCTAGTCATGAGATCTACTTGGGCTTTGAAAGAATCTTAAATGGAAAATAGTGGGAGTCTTTCTAATTAGAATATTCAGGATTATAGAATAAAATATAGAATTATAATCCTCATATATATGTCATAAATTATGTCACAAATTGCATTAATAAATATAAATCTGTGTCACCGTAATGGAGTAAATACTAAAGTATGTCTTGGCCTGTCCAGAAGCTTCTGCAGTACAGAGAAAGTGAAAACTGTTTTTCTGTTTTAAGGACGCTATCCATGCTTCTCTAACTGTCCCAATACCCTATTTCAGGTTTCAAATTTCTCTTGAAGCAGGAAATTCCATTAGGTAGCCAACCGCAGGGATGAGTTGGGTTGGTTTTTTTTTGTTTTGCTTTGGTTTTTTTTTCCCCTTTTGAATCTTCATCGAGGCAAAGAAGAGAGAACATTGAAGAGGACCTAATTCTCACTTATTCAGATTTCTTTGCAGTGGTCATGTGATATATAGAAATCTTGAAATGAGAGTCAGTCAAACTGACCTTAAATCACCTCCTTATTGAGAAAGGGAATGAAGTTCACTTTTCTCTTCAATCTTTAGTAAGACTGTACCTTCCCACTGGAATTGCCTCTTAGAGTTCCTGGACAGAAGGCATCAATGGTTCATATCATCCTACTTGTAAGTAGTGAGAGTGGCATTCTGCTGTTTTTCAGTCCCACCTTCTGCCAGCATCTTAGTTTTCAGGGTATGTTTTTCTGTCTTCACTGATGTCTGTATTTGACAGACTTTTCCAATTTTTTTGATGTGATTTCAGCTTCCAAACAATTTGCTGAAGAGGTCTTGAAAGCACACAATGACTACAGGAAGAAACATGGAGTCCCCCCATTAAAACTGTGCAAGAAGTTAAACAGAGGAGCCCAACAGTGAGTTCAGTCCTTTCTTTTCTCTGATGAGATTTCTGTCACTTTTATTGGCTAGATTTGACTGTGCACACTGGAAAAATACTTTTCTTTTTGACATGCTGGTGTTCAGTGAAGGCTTACTGGATGGAAAGTGATGCACTCTACTCTTTTTGTCTCCTTACCCAACTCTTTTCTTCCTTTCTTTTTCCATCAAATAGGACCACCTAATCATATGTGCACTTCTCTGGTCACAAGAGTGTAAATATTGCATTTTCTTTGAGATGTGGGCTGCATCTGTCTACGCTTATGTATCTCCTTTACAGAAGTTATTTGCCTAAAGCGTGCTTTGCTCCCATCTCCATCAAATGATTTATTGTCAGCTGCATGAGAACATCTGCTGCTGCTGAAATAGGGAAGAAAATAACTTTTTCATGGTAGGAAGTGATGACTAGTCTTCCTACTGCCTGATTTAAGTCTTTCTTACAGTAACTTAAGACCACTATTGCTTTTCCTCTTTGCTGCATATATGACAACCAGATTGTTTCCTTTCTCTCTGTAGTAAACTTTTTCAAAGTGGTTTTCACAAAATCATAGAATCATAGGATGATTGAGGTTGGAAGGGACCTCTGGAGATCATTTGGTGTTCCATTTATTTTCAGGTTGAGGAATAGATCTTTGTAATATGAAGGAAATTCTTCAAGGAAAAAATGCTGACTGAACTCTTCCAGAAATAAATGTCTTCCCATAACAGCTAAATGGTGGTCATTTTGATCCCAGCAAACATGAGATCTCACCTCCTATTACACTTTCTATCATAAACATGCAGGGTTTTCCATGCCAGCTGGCTCAGAACCAGAGAGTCTGTGGTGTTTCCAGAACCCAATTTATTCTCTGCATCATGCTGCCCTCTGCCATAAAGATGGTTCAGTTCTCTCAGCCTAGAACAGAGATCTCTATGAGGTGTTGTGCCATACAACACGCCATGTACATGGTATGTAGATGTGCCCTCTGGCAGCAATCCATGTTAATTTTGTCTGCTTTCTTTCTACTTCTTTTTCTGAGACACCATGATAACTAGATACAGTATTTCTGTGACGCCAGTGACACGTCTGCATACCTATGCAATCTTGATCTTCTTCCTGTTCTTCAAAGGTTTGGGTTTTTTCTGCTTTATCTGATGCCTCACAATGAGGAGGAGATTTTATTGACTTGTCCCTTCTTTTCTCTTCCAGCTTTTACAGTTGGGTTGAACAAATCAATTTGTATGAATAGTTGAGATTATTCTGTCAAATAGACATTGCTCCACATTTATCTCTAAGTGCTCTATTGCCCTTCATGGGTATATTTAGGTTCTTCTGGAGTTCCTCACAATCCTCTCTGGTCACAGCTGACTTTCTTCACTGTGGTGAATAACAGTTGGAAGCCTCTGGTAACTTAATTTATAAGTATTAAAGGTGTGTTTAGAAACTGGTGCAATTGTTGGTGCAATAGCAAGAAACAGAAATGTTTTGTTCCGAATAGCAGACATGAAATTTGAGAAATCTTATTTTTGTCAAGTTAGATGATGCATAATATAAAATTCCAGAGCTTCAAAGAGCTTCACTTTTCAGTATGTCTGGTATCTTTGTTGAAATGTGTCTGATGTATCTCTTCTTCTCTGTCTGTGTTGAAAATGGTGTGCTTTCTACTATTTTCAGTCCCAAGAATGGAGTCAGGCTAACTGAATTGACTATTGGATCCCTGTTTTAGGATGAGTGAGTCACCCTCAGCAGGTGTCTGTTTATATCTGACTGTAATGAAGCATTGGGTGATGATCTCAGATACAAATCTCATGTTTTCAGCTGCCTGAGCAGGAGGGAATTAATCACCCTTTGTCTCAAATCCTTGGCAACTTAGTCCCAGTCTTACCTCTTTCTTGGAATGTGCAAATCCTTGAAGAGAAGCAGTGCAGGACTATGGGGATAGAGACATGAAGGAGTGTCAAGAGATCCTCTAGTTCAGGATCTAGCAGATTCACAACTGGCAAGCTTTCTTTATTTCTAAACTACTGGAGGTAGCTCAGTGTGGTATTTTTGCTTGATTTCTTTTCTTAGAGGGATAGGACAAAAGGAAAGCAGGACCTAATGACTAAAGTACTAGCTTGGGCCAAAACGTTCCGCTCAGCAATCCTGTGTCTGACAGATGCCAGTAAGACAAGCTTAGGGAAGAAGCAGCAGAACGAGACATACATAGTGATCCTTGCTCTGTTATCTTCTCCTGGAAATTACAAAATTATCTAAGAAATTGTGGTCAGTTAGTATCTTTTCTTTTTTTTTGGTTCTAGGTGTCTAATAGCCCCTGAATACACACACTGTAATTCTCTAGCTCCTTTCAGATCCCCGTGTGCTTTGGTGTCTGCCTCATTGGTGATAAGTTTTGTAGCACACTATGGAACAATTGTTTTGTCTTACTTCACTTCTAAATCTACCTGATGGTTTCTGATGCTGTGAGAAATAACAAATGGTCTTTTGAATTTGAATGTCTTTGTACTGAAGCCTTTCCAATGCTGACTAAAGAGAATAATCCTTTTACACATGAAGTTATTTTTAATTCCCATTGTAATAAGACAATCGGAGTACCTCCCACACTCTCATGTGTTAACTTCTATAGAAACAATGCTTCTTATCCCTGTGCTGGTACACACATTTGTTGTTTCAAATTCTTCCTGTGATTTCTTTCTCTTTTCACTCACTTTGACTAAATCCCAGCTTCAGTCTATTTTTCTATTTCATGTAGAAATCAAGTTAATGCTGCAGAGTTTTTGGAACTGTTCTCTACTTATCAAATAAAATTGGTTTAAGTACACTTTTTATTTCTTAATAGTAAAACACTAGCAAAACATTGAAGAGGCCCCAGGACTACTGCAAATGTATGCTGGAAATCTCCGTCTAGTGTTACAGTGAGTCATTGGCCGTCCTCTGCTTGAGAAGGGCTTGGATTTTGCTCCCTTTGCCATATGTACATATGATTTATGAATTATCTGCATGCTGATTTTTGAAGCTACGTTATCTCTTGTGCAGGTTACTCCAGTGAGAGGGTTTGGAAATGTTGAGAGTTGACATTTGTAAAAATGCTTACAAATGCTTCCCTTTCCCCATTAAAGTTGCAGCTGTGGATTTCCAGGTGCTGGGCAAACAGGATGAAGGGAGATCTACATTCTGTTTCTTTTAGACCTTTCTCACCCGTGGCACAAGCACTCATGAAAGATATGCAGAATGCTCTCTGGACTTTCCTTTCTCCTGAGTCCTAGATCTATATAGGCTTAAAGCATCCCTGGCATCAGAGATTTGCAACTGAATAACTTCACTTAAAATGCCATCTTCTAACAGGACAAGGGGAAATGGTTTAAAACTAAAAGAGGGGAGATTTAGATTGGGTATAAGAAAAAAGTTTTTTACAGTGCGAGTGGGGAGGCGCTGGCACAGGTTACCCAGAGAGGTGGTGGATGCTTCATCCCTGGGGACATTCAGGCTGGATGGGGCTCTGAGCAACGTGATGTAGCTATAGGTGTCCCTGCTCATTGCAGGGGAGCTGGACGAGGTGACCTTTAAAGGTCTCTTCCAATTCAAATGATTCCATGATTCTAACATTCCTTGTTTGAATTCCCTCTTCCTCTTCTTTCACCTCTCCATCCTCTTTAGCTGCAGTCTGTAACACAATTTGTGCATCCCTTTGCTAGGTATGCAGAAGAACTGGCAGCCTCAAGGATCCTCAAACACAGCTCTGAGTCTGCTAATGGAAAATGTGGAGAGAACTTGGCCTGGGCATCCTACGATCAAACAGGTAAACTTTCTTCTCTTGCTGTCTCACAGACACCATATAAATAGCCTGCTTCATTTTCCTTGGGCTCAGAGCATAAGTGAGCTGGATGTCAGGGCTGGTTGCAAGAGTATTGCCATTGCCTTCACTTCCAAAAAGTGGCCACTGCAACCTAACCCACGTTCCATGGGCACAGGCTTCTGGTATGCAGACACCTACATATGCTGAAAGCAAGAAACACAGATATGCACTGAAAGGGTAATGCATTTGTGGCAGTGGCTTATGTCCCTTTAAAGTTAGGATTTGGTGGCCAGGCTGTTCCGTATGTCCCAGCTGTGCACCTACTTTGAATTCTGTTTCATGGAAGGGGAGAAGGAAGCTGTCAGTGCCCTGTTCTTCACCTTTATCCTTAGTTTGCCCTAGCCTGAGTAAGGGCTGACCACAGGTCAACTGTGGTGAGGAAGGTGGAAAAGTGGCAATTGCATGCTACACAGCAGTTCCTGTTTCAGAGGTCAAAAAGACAGTGGGAAACCAAAGTGACAAAGGCAACATCTGATCTCTTCTGCTCTGTCAGTAAACAGAAGCTTTGAGCCCTTTTCCCTGCCTTCATTTCTGAAGATAAAAGTTGTCCGTATATTTTCTGATCATAAATGTAGCACATAATTGGCAGCCTTCTGTTTGGATACCCGAGGAGCTGAATTTTGGCCATGCTGACAGCCTGCAGTGAGCACTCAGAGCTATGCTCAGCAGGCTCTTCCCTCCTTCCTCCTCCAGCATGCAGAGTTAATGCCTCTGCCTGCTGAGAGAGCAGGTGGTGTGTATTATAAGTGACCACTTGCTTTCTTTATTTCCATCCACCTCTGGAATTCCCAATGCAGTCTAGAGGAGATAGGAGCTCATTTACGTGGACTGTATGTCCTGTTTTAAGGACCGGGAAATTTTAGTAACTGAGTTTTAGGTCCAGGGGCACTGCTGGATTCCTTCACAAGTGCTGGTTGTAGCCCTGCATTGGTACCTTTTTATATTGAAAAGGAAACCCAGGGTGGAAAAATCTAATTGGATCTACTAATACTTGGCGTTCTGTCCATTGCAAGAGTCTGAGGTAAGACTTCAGAGCAGCATGGGAACACACAGATGTATGGCAAAATTTGCACAGTGCCTATGACTCACTGAGCTTACTTCTTCCTTCTTGTTTGTGTTGATGGCCTATGCTCTTCCCCTGAGGTTAAAGAAACAGGATTCTCATTCAGAGAGCTGGAAACAACACACATGGATCCTTCCATAAATTATATAATGCTAGTCCTTTTTTGGATCACACTTGTTTTCTTCTATGCACTGTTTCCATGCATAACTTGCCAGTTTTGAGCAGTTTTTTATTGCTATTTTTTATTCATAGAATTGACTGCCTTCCTGAGAAAAATAAGCTACATCTTTTGTTCTGTGCTACATTTCCTATGTGTCAGGATGAGTCAGAGCATCAGAGTAAGAAAACTCCTTGTTCAGAGAAAGCTGTTCTGTCCAGGCTTAGTTTTCATTTCTGTGGAGCTGGTTACTTCTTCCTCTTTTTCTCATGCAGTTCCCTCTGGATAGTTAATTTGTAGCCTGCTCAATGAGGCTGAAATTTGTATTAGGCATCTATTCAAGGGCTTAATAAAGGGAGACTGTCTTCCTCCCCACATAGAGCAAAACTCAATAAACCTCCAGCTTAGTGTGTTTCTCTCTAAAAAAAGTGATGCTATTGTATATTTTGACTCTTAAAGAGTTCTGTGATAATGCCAGAAGATAAATTTCTTGTTTCAGAGATGATTTAAGCTTTAAATTATAAGAGCCTTTTAGTTTCACCCTTCTCCTGGCTCAGGAATCTCTTACATTGTATTCAGGATTTTGGAGTTACACAGCCTAAAGCTGTAGCTGGAAATATATTTATCCCTGTAATCCAAGAAATAGCTGACAGCTGCTTCCTCCCTCCAGTCCTTCAGGAACTGCTCTGTGGCAGACTTCTCTTTGTCTCTGTTCACGTAAGTGAGCTGTCATCTGCCACTACTACAACAGAGACCACAGCCTGCCTGGGCAGCTGCACTGTGTCAGGCTTCTTAGGACGCCTCATGTCATTTCTCATGTACAGGGAGGCCTAAGGCAAGAACTGAATGATTCAGTTCTGGTTGGGATGAATACTGTCATGAAGAGTGTGTGTGTTGTCCCTGAAAACACTGCAGCTGATGAACTTTGGGGAGTTTGTAAGAGAAATTCACGGCATATTATTATCTAAATCTATCATGAGAGGAACCTGGGTTTGGCTACAAAATCTGGTTTAGTGTGCAGAGCAGCACAGACACATTCTGCCCCAGCCCTGAAGGAGCACGCTCTGACTCACAAATATGATTCCTTGAGGTATCTGTGGCTCTCTATTCCTCTCCCATACCAGATTTTCACAGTACTGCTAAAAAATTCCCCCATCCCTGGAGGTGCTCAAGGCCAGGTTGGATGGGTCCCTGGGCAGCTGAGCTGGTAGGGGGCAGCCCTGCCCACGGCACGGGGTGGGGCTGGGTGGGCTTTGAGGGCCCTTCTAACCCAAACCATTCTGTGATTCCATGATTCTGTGAAAATAGACCTTCACAAGAAATGCTGAAAGTAGAGAATTACACCCTTTGAGATAACTTCTGATGGAAACTTAAATTCAATTCTCCTGCTTTCACCTAAGAAAGTGGAAGGGCAATTGGTAACAAAAGCTAAGAAACACTAAGGGAAAGATATGAGGTTGAGGGTACCTGGTTTGTAGATTTCCGTGATGTTTCCCGTCCTCACAGAGATGTAATGTGTGCTGTCATCTTATTAGAATGTTGTTAATAATTTTCTCAGTGAGATGGCTTGAAAATTTAAGGTTTCTTAGGTATAAGAAGAGACAGTAAGGGTGGCCACAGAGAAATTCAACATTAGATGAGCAGAATACAGTAGTTGGGCTGACAGCCTTGTGCCCCTGGGTCCAAGCAGTAATGAGGCAAGAGTATATTCCCAGGTGTGCATAGAATCACAGTATCATAGAATGGCTTGGGTTGAAAGGGACCTCAAGGATCATGAATCCCCAACCCCTCTGCCACAGGGAGGGCCACCATCCTCCCCATTTAATACTAGACCAGGCTGCCCAGGGCCCCATCCAATCTGGCCTTGAACACCTTCAGGAACGGGGCATCCACAACTTCTCTGGGCAGCCTGTTCCAGTACCTCGCCACTCTCTGTAAAGAACTTCCCTCTGATATCCAACCTAAATCTTCCCTCCTTCAACTTGAAACCATTTCCCCTTGTCCTGCTGTTATCTACCCTTTCAAAGAGTTGACTTCCCTCCTGTTTGTAGGCTCCCTTTAGGCATTGAAGGGCTGCAATGAGGTCGCCCCAAAGCCTTCTCCAGGCTGAACAAGCCCAACTCCCACAGCCTGTCTTCATATGGGAGGTGCTCCAGCTCTCTGATCATCTTAGTGGCCCTCCTCTGGACCCTTTCCAACAACTTCCTATCTTTCTTGTATTGGGGGCCCCAGATCTGGATGCAATACTCCAGATGGGTCCTCATGAGGGCAGAGTAGAGAAGCACAATCACCTCCCTGACCCTGCTGGCCAACCCTCTTCTGATGGAGCCCACTATGCACGTATATGCACGCATAGACGGCATGTACATACATATACGTATGGGCAGGTACAGACAGTATTTACATGAACAGCATTTACATGGCCCATCAGGACAAACATCTATTGTTGGAATATGTATAAATGATATATATGCATTTATTTCCAACAGTGGATTCTTAAAAATATATATAATCAAATATTATTGGCAATATAAAATAATGTATATAAAATATATTCTTTTCCTCTTAGTGGGAATTTGTGTGCCTTCAGCTGCTGGGCTCAGACACCTGGTCTGTCCATTAGCTGCCCCAGTCATCCCTGTTGCTGGCAGCTGGATGTACAAACCCATGGAGCTGCAGTTCCACTCCAGCTGCTGGTACAGACCCTCTCATCCATGCACACCCAGCTCTCTGGGCTCCCCTTCTCCTTTAGGGCTGATGCAGCCTATAAGAATGAGATTCAGCCTGATTGGAAATGAACCAAGCAGGTCATCAGTCAGCTGTTGTTAGAAGGGTGGAGCTGAACTACGTTTCCATAGAAAAAGTGTTGAAACTGTAAATGTGGTTTACAGCAATGCAAACAGGAAGGATGTTTAAAAAAAAAAGTAATATAGTAACTGGCTCTGCCACCCGAAGAGGAACTGCAGCACTGGTTGTAGGACAGGTCTGCATGGTTTTGATACAATTAACATAGTGTAGTCACTTAAGCACTTTGTTACAAAGTGCATGTGCTCTATAAGGTCTGACATGTCTGCTGAAGACCTCTGTGCTTCTGTTCAACAATGATTTGTTTAGCTTTTGTACTGTATGTGTTTTGTTTTTCCTTTGACTTACACACAGATTGCTCTTGGCATGCTTTTTAGTCTTTTAGTCTTACTTAGAGTAGCAAATGAGCAGGTATTGTATTTGCTTTACAGACTCTAGCCATTAAGCAGGTGTTTCTGGGGTTGTTATTTGGCACAACCAAATAACAGGGAAAGAAGGAACCTGTTGTTACTCCCAGAGCATTTACTTCAGGAATCAAGACATGTTTGCTACGTCTTTATGTAGAAAATATAAACAAACTCACTAAGTGAGCCTCATTCCCAACAAGCAGTGTGCTATGGATCAGTTCCTAGAACTTCCAGTTCACAAACCTCTCAGAAATAGCAGTTCACTCAGTATTTTCTTTCAAGTGACAGCTCTGACAGCCAGGCTGCCAGGCTAACCACGCCATCAGTTGAGCAGATTGCACTCATAAGTCTAAAGAGGTTAACAGCTCAGCGTCTGACTTCAGGAACAGCGCAATTTTTTGAGACTTTTTGCTGTGAAATAGCAAATTGTGAGTCACTGTGGTTCTGCAGCCAACGGTCCGCCAGGGACCGGCGTTCTTCATGACGGTAGTCTTGACAGCTTTGGCAGCTTGCTCTGGGATCAACTGGCCTTGCGTTATGCTTCCTGGAATGCTAAGCAGAAACTTCATTACTGATGTAGTACAGGGAAAAGCCTGCCCCCTCCTCCTCCCTCCCTGTCTGAGACAAGAATTTCCTAAGAAACAGTAATGGAAAAGACGTAATATTTGACTTTTGAATGCATCTGCAAGTTCTGCTCTGAGCTTCTGCCCTCTGTGCTGTCTGTTCAATCAGATTCATTGCAGACTGTCAGAATCTGCTCTCGTCTATCAGGTTCCTAAACAGCTCAACAAAAGCAGATAGGGTTGTTTCTTTGGTAGATGTCACTGTCAGACAGCTACAGACACGTAGCACTGTGCCACTGGCTGTGGTTGTGACCCTTGTGTAGCTGCCATCCATGAACACCTCTGGTGAAATGAGCCAGTGCTGGGCATAGATTTCCATACAGTATCAGCTCCTGGAAATGTTGTACCCTGAGCTAGAGAGCTCAGAGTGGAAATTCACAATGGCTCAGGTGCTGTGTAAAACCATTAAGAAGAATAAATCCACTCAAAGTTTGAAGTATGAAGTGCTGATGGGAACATATAAAGTTACAGGATGTAAGGAGTGTCATTTTATTTTGGTTTGCTGGGAGTTGTGAAGGAGCATCTTCATACACCTGGATCCACAAGTGGCTCACTGTAGAAAAGGCCCCCGCATTCCTTTGCCAGAAAACCTGGCACAGCTCCCTGAAGTCTTTTCAAACTTGTTCCAAGATGCTGAAAGTGGTGTGTAGAAACCTAATGATAGGAACACTCATCCAAGATGGGGGAGATGCATCTTCGGCTACCTTCCAGGCTTACAATTATAGAAAATTCTGGGCAGACACAAATCATGGACTCCATGTGTTAAATTGCCAGCCAGTGAAACATTTTGTTAAGGACTGCATGGATCTTTGCTCATCCAGGTCCAAATGCTGTGCCACACTGACCTCTTTTGTCTGAGAGCTTTTCTAACTTCAGCCCTATTAAGTTTTAATTACATCTGAGAGTTGACTTGTGGTCCTGTTTACTGAGCTGTTGTCAGAATCCTGCTCCTCTTCAGGTCCATCTTATCCAAAGAGCACCTCTCCACAGAGGTCCTATTTCTGTACCTGCTCAGTGCATTGCTGCCCTATATCTCAGCCAGCCTGTGCCAACCGTGGCCACATCCCTTGCATCTCAGTGAAGAAACTGATGGATTGTGGTTGTGTCAGGGAGCTGAGAACTCCAGAAACTGATGGCATGAGATGGTTAACGAAAAACATTAGACTGATTAGTAACTGCGTAGCAACAGCTATTGCAAAACAATAAATATTTGGTATGTAATGTGCTATACCGTGTTACCTACATATCAAAAACTCTTATTCAGTAAAAGTGTTCCTTTGTGTGCCTGGAAGTTGTGCCTTGGGTTGTACAGGTCTTGCCAGCTGTTAACTGAAGATCATACAATCACTAAGGTTAGAAAAGACCTCCCAAATCATCTAGTCCAACTGTCTGCATATCATTAATATTTCCCCTCTAAACCATGTTTCTTAGTGCAACATTTAAATATTTCTTGAACACCTCCAGAGAGGATGACTCAGCTACATCCCTGAGCATCCCTGTTCCTGATCAGTCTTTCTAAGAAGAAGTCTGTCCAAACATCTGGCCTGAAGATCATGCTGGTCAGGCTGTAAGTGAACTATGTTCTTGTGTTTGTGTTACCTGTCCTGATTCCACATTTCTTCTGTGTTTCAGGGAAGGATGTTGCTGACAGATGGTACAGTGAAATAAAGAATTACAGCTTTCAAAACCCAGGGTTTTCTTCAGGGACAGGTAAGTTCAGACTGATCACCTTCTCTTCACAACCAGGACTTTTCTTTTAAGAAATTGCCTGCTCTACTTGTTTTAATAGTTTTTGAAAATCTGCCTTGTTCTTAGGAGAACAATATTAGAATTTCCCCCAAACTTTTATGTTAGAAACTGATAGAAAGGTAGAAGAATCTGTGAGAAATGAGGAAGGTTTGGAATTTGCATGGTTTTTCTTTTTAATATATTGTGGGTTTTTTTCTGCAACTCCCAAATTTTTAGAAGGCACCTTATTTTTAAGGCAAATCTATTTGTAAAAAACACTGAACTGAAATGATATAGGTGTCTCACTAAATACAGAGTGTCGTTGTTTACACTGGCATGTGTCTTCTGCCAAGATGTATCACTACAGTTGCAGAGATTGCTTCAGCTGTAATTTGGAGATCAGCCACGGGTCATTGACTGCATGTTGTCAGCCCAGTGCTCAGTGAACGTAAGAACGTTGTTCCTTGAATAATAATTGAGCAAGAGATACAACTAAGCTTGTTTGAGATGAAGAAAATCTTGCTTTTCTCCCATGGTGCTTGTTTGTGCATAGGGGAAACAACTGATAACACAGCTTAGGGGTGGCCATTAGAGGTAAGCAGAAGCAGACACAAAAAAACAAAAAAAAACCAACCCAGCAACAAAGAGAATTATCTTGAATTGTTCTCCATGCAGACATAGGAGGGAAGGATGAAATGCTAGAACTGCTATTCTTACTGCAGGAAGTAAGCACCGTAGTGTCTTTGTGGAATTTTGTATCAATTATTCATCAAAGTCCTTCTTTCATGATTCTTATTTGGGAATAGGACATGGAGCCCACTACACTAATATGGAACCAGGTCAGAGCAGGCTTGTTCAAGACAAAATGCTAGATATAGGTTTTTCCCATACCTTTAGTGAGCTCTCCTGTTAGAGAAAAAAACAGTTTTGTATGCCTCTTTCACCCCATCCTCCTCAGTACGTTTGAAGGAATAATATAGATTTAGTACCTAAAACATCTGCATATGCTTCTCTCTTTCTTCAGGTCATTTCACAGCAATGGTTTGGAAGAACACAAAGAAAATGGGAGTTGGAAAAGCATCTGCTAGTGATGGTTCTACATTTGTGGTAGCTAGGTACGATCCAGCTGGAAACGTAGTAAATCCAGGCTACTATGAAGAAAATGTCCTTCCTCCAAGAAAATAACCTTTCTTTAGAGGTAGTCTTATTGCTTTGTGACAGATGAACCTAGGTTTGGACTTAACACTGTTTGAAGTGAAGTACAATTCAATGAAATTTCCTGTTGGATACTGCTGCTCACTTCTCATTGCAGAAGAAGCAATTACATGTTGCTTGAGTCAATCTGCACATTAGGTCCCTATTGATTCTGAGGAGACTTCAGTTTATCTGAGGATGAAGTATATGCAGCATTTCTGAGGGGTAAAAGTTTCTAGCTTGTTCTTTTTTCTGTTAGCTTGCATGAACTCTGTGTCGGCATGTGAAAATACACATGTTGGATGTCTTTTTCTAAACAGGCAAATTCGTAGCTTTATGTAAACTGAAGGTACCAGTTTGTAACTATATCACGTATTCCAGGTTTTCTATTTTTTGCTATTAAGTGCAACTTCTTTGCTCCGTCTGTACCTTTTTCTACTGTGAAGTCTCATCCCTACAGCTTGAACATATGCAAAGCCTCCTGTATGAAAGTTACACATATAAAATGCAGTGGAATCCAGACATATATGCTTTCATTAAAAGGATCTCACAGGACACTAAGACTACACTGGCAAAGTTGTATCAGTCAAGCAAGCTATAACTCATGCATGACCAAAAAATTAGTAGAAATGTTTAAATCTTAGCTTTACATTTTAGGTGCTAATATTTAAAAACACAACACTATCTTACAGTTTACAGAATATACATTGTCTTATAATCAAATTGATTATTTCCGTTCCAGAAAAGCAAGGTACTGCCATTTCTCTTTGATATTTACACACAAAATAAATTTCTCTGGGAAATCATCATGGATTTCATTTCACAATAACTTATTTTTATTTCCTAGAGAATATCTTCTGCAGACATTGATATTCCCAAATCATAATTAAGAGATGTTTACTCTTAGTTCATACAATTCAAAAAGTTCACGTACTGTGCTTCAATTTGGGATTTTCTTTTCTATGTAGGGATTTCTTTTGACTTCTGCTGACATTTGGCTCATGAAGAGTGCCATTGCAGAAATACTTACTTTTGTTTACACAGTTGTAATAAACTGCACTGTTACAGCTTGATGATATGTCACTGTGATGCTATATATTACAATCCTTTTGCTGTAACCAAGAATTTAATACATATTATAAGCATCTGAAAATGATATATTTTTGAATATGAATCACTGAAGTCTTTGCTGTTACCTGAATCTTTGTTGAATAATCTTTAAATTTTATTTCCAAGACATTAACATAGGACAATATTACTTAAGTAATGAAGTGAAAAAAAAAAAAAAAGGCAGCAAGAAATCTAGCCCAGGAAAGACAGGAGACCTAAGAAATGATAAATCATAACGTAGATAAGAGATGACTATCATCTCTTTATACAAACTTTGAACTAAGCCTTGGATTCAATGCTGAACTCCTGCTTTGTGTTTTAATTTCTCTCTCTCTCAGTTGATATGTTCTTGGTAAAGAACAGCCACTCCACTTCCACACAGACATGCCTGTTTAGTAACTGCAGTTGTGAGGCCTTCCCATCTTCAACTTTCAGTTAAGAAATGTCAAATAAATCAAATTCAAATACTCTTTTTTCTTTTTGTTTGCAATTACTTGCTGCTGTTGGCCCTATAACTCTGAATGGTTGGTGTATATGTTCAACTGAGTGAATGAAGTCAGAGTGTTTCACTGCTGCCACCTAATATGTTTTTTATGTTAGAACTGGAAAGATCTTGATGAAGAGAGGACAAAACAAAACCAACCTAGTCATTACCTTTATTTAGAATGATAATGGCAAGTGAACTTCCAGAGCTTTTTAGAAGGAACATTTTGAAGTGGTGTCTGATCATCTGACATAGAAGGAACTCAAAGCCACTCAAATAGATCCAATGCAAGCTTTGTACACCCTACAGAATTTCTATGCAGGTAAGTAGCAATTTAAAAACAAAATAAAACAACCCAGTCAATCTAGTTCTTAATGACCCAAGCTCATAATGTTGATGCCTTCTGCAAATGAACTGTCTGCGCAGTAAACCATCGTGTAGTTAAAAGGCCAAATGCATTGAGAAAGGTAATGTTGATTTTGTGGCTCACCTAGAAGCCATAGGATTTGGAGAAATGCACATTGAAACCTGACTTCCCAGACCTCTGTGTTGCTCTATCACCTCCACTACGTCTTGGTGAGTTGTGATGACTGAGAAGTGGCAAAGAAAGGTTATCTCCTGTGATGTAAGGGCAGAACATGATGTTCAAGCACACACAAGAAGACACTTTTGCTCTGGGAATAAAGAGATGGCCTGATCTGACAGCTCTGATTCTAGTGAATTCTTGAGAAGCCTGGAGATGGTTTCTAAATTATTTGTGCAGAAAGAAAAGGAGGAAGAGGAGTTCTACCTTGTCTGAGGCTTTATTTCTAGTCTGCTGGTTTAAGTAATAACAAAGCATGTGGGTAAGAATTGGAAATGGTCTTTAAAAACTGCAGAGGGGGACCCTTGTTTGACATATTTTGATTTGCTATCTTCACTCCTTCATCTTCCCCAGACCTCACCAAAATCTTGAAGTTGACATTGTGAAGATGGAGAAATACAGATATGTTTTTACCTGAAACCAGCATTGGTTTTTTTGGTACAAAATAATTCCCCAGAAGATCACCTCTGCAAGTATGGGTAACGAGGATGGTGTAAACCTCTCAAAGGAAGGGGAGGAAGAGGACTTGAAACTGAAACAGTAGATTTTGTGGGTGAGCAAGAGGAGCAGGCCATGCAGTGCTGGTAGCAGGAGGGCTCTGGAACAGCACCAGGCCACAGGCAGAGGCATTTGGGGAAGGTTTGGGTGACGTGTTCTTGTTTCATCCCACTCTGAAAGGCCTTGTAGGCTGCTGGAAGCAGTGAAGCCTGCCTTGCTCGTAGCGTGTGTTCCTATAAACTTCTTTGTAACCTGGCTTTGGCTCTGCAAGGATGTAACCATTGTTTAACCATCTGAAGCAGGCAAAGTGATGTCATTTCACAGCTGAAGAAGCCAAGCAATCAGCAGAGGTTTCAAATCTCCAGAGTAGGAACTGGAACCATGCATGCCAATTACACTTTGTGAGTGCATTTTTATTGCATTAGAATTGTCAGAAGATTTTTAAGTTCTGAACCATTTAGTAGCTTTTCTGTTCAAAACTTGATTTGAATTCTAGGCATAATGCAATGAATTATTTCAAAGTAGACATACATACAGGGTGTTCTGTGTTTTGTGGTTGTGACACATGACAGTGCTATAATCCATAGGCTTGGTGAGGGAAGTGCATTGTGGGATGGCACCTGAGGATTTTTTGACTCCAGACGGAGTGGAGAAAGGGCAAGTAGAGATGGCACAAAGAAAGCCGCTTCCTTCCCTTTTTGAACCTAACAGTGAAATCTCAGAAAGCTGCACTGCAAGGGAGAACATAGGAGAAAGTCAGGGATTAGGCTGCTGTGGTTATTGCATGCTAGGAAAGTGAAATGTGAAAATGACATAGTTATTTCTGTCTCCTTCATACAGGCTGAAGACCAGAATAACTGTCTTCACTTCTCATTCTGCCATGAGTTGTTGCATTATTGTACCACATTTTCCAGCCATAATGGAGATGGGAAGTCTGAGTTTTAGTGCCATTCATCTCTCTTTTTTGCTTCTTTGGAGGAGATTCTGGGTTAAATCCTGCTCCTCCAAGCCTTGCTCACTGAACTGTGGGATTTTACTTCTTGCAGTGGGGAAAAAAAAAAAAAAAAAAAAAAAAGATTTGCAGTATGCTTGGCCATCCCTATATGAGCAGCCTTAAGCAAGTCACAGTCCAGAAGATAATCTGCCCCTGATTAGATCATCATTCTCACAGGGAGAAAATTAGAGAGGCAGTGCCCAGCTTGAATTCAACTTGGCCACTGAAGTAAAAGGAGAACAAAAAACTTTTTTACAAATGTATTAACAGTAAAAGGTGGGCTAAGGAGAATCTCCATCCTTTTTTTGAATATGATGGAGAACTGAGGATAAGGAAAAGGCTGTGGTTCTTAAATGCATATTTTTTTACATCTGTCTTTAAAAGTCAGATAAGTTACCTTCTGGGTGCTCTACCCTCTGACTTGCAAGTCTTGAATAGGGAGCAGAATAAGCCCCCATGATTCAGGTGGAAAGAGTTAAGAGATCTACAACATCACCTGGATTGTCACAAGTCCATGGGGATGGATGGGATCCACCTGAGGGTGCTGAGGGAGCTGGCAGAGGTGATAGCCAAGCAGATTTCCATCATCTATCAGTGTTCCTGGTCAGCCAGAGAGGTCCCAGAGGATTGGAGGCCTGTCAATATGAATCTCATCTGCAAGAAGGGCCGTAAGGAGGATTTGGGGGACTACAGGTCTGTCAGCTTGACCTTGGTGGTGGTTAAGATTATGGAGCAGATAATCTTGAGGGAGATCACACTGTGTGTGCGGGACAACTGGGGGATCAGGCCTAGCCACCATGGGTTTGTGAAAGGCAGGTCCTTCTTGACAAACCTGATCTCCTTCTATGATCTAGTGACCTGCCTGTTGGATGAGAGAAAGATTTTGCGTCAGTCCACTGAGGCTTCAGCAAAACCATCAACAGCGTCTCCCACAGTATTCTTCTGGAGGAGCTGGCAGCCCATGTCTTGGACAAATATAATATTTGCTGGTTGAAGAACTGGCTGGATGGCCAGGCCCAGAGAGTGGTGGTGAATGGAGATAAAGCCAGTTGGTGACCAGTCATGAGTAGTACCCCACAGTAGTCAGTATTGGGCCCTGTCCTGTTCAGTATCTTTATAGAGGACTTGGACGAGGGCATTGAGTGCATACTCGGTAAGTTTGCAGATGATACCAAATTGGCAGGAAATCTGCCTGGAAGGCCCTATAGAGCAATCTGGACAGCCTAGCTAGCTGGGCTGGGGTCAATGGGATGAAGTTCAACAAGACCAAGTGCTGAGTCCTACACTTTGGCCACAACAACTCCAAGCAGTATTACAGGCTAAGGGCAGAGTGGCTGGAAGATGATGTTGGTCAGTGCTCAGCTGAACATGAGCCAGCAGTGTGCCCAGGTGGCCAAGAAGGCCAACAGCATCCTGGCTTGTATCAGAAGTAGTGTTGTCAGCAGGATCAGGGAAATGATTGTCCCTCTATACTTAGCACTGATGAGGCCACACTTCAGTACTGCATTCAGTGTTGGGCCCCTCACTACAAGAAAGACACTGAGGCCCTGGAGTGTGATCAGAGCAGGACAACAAAGCTGTGAGGGGTCTGGAACGCAAGTCTTATGGGAAGCAACTGAAGGAACTGGGACTGTTTGGTCTGGAGAAGAGGTTTAGAGGTCAACTTATCACTCTCTACGACTACATGAAGAGTGGTTGTGGTAAGGTGGGGGTCAACCTCTTCTCCCATGTAACTAGCAATAGGACAAGAGGGAATGGCCTCAAGTTGTGTCAGGGGAGATTCAGGTTGGACGTTAGGAAATACTCCTCCTACAGGAGAGTGGTCAGCACTGAAACAGGCTGCTCAGGGAGGTGGTGGAGTCACCAACCCTGGAGGTGTTCAAGTAGCGTTTAGATGTTGTACTAAGGGACATGGTTTAGTGGAAAATATCGATGATATATGGATGGTTGGGCTGGATGATCTTACAAGTCCTTTTCAACCTTGAAGATGTTATGATTCTATGATAGAATCACAGAATATCGTGAGTTGGAAGGGAACTGTAAGAATCACTGAATCCAACTCCAGCTTTCTAGATGAATGAAACACTGAAAGCCAGAAGGAGACTGAGAACATCACACAGTGCCTGGGTTTGGCCTCTCTTCTCCATCTTTGTGGAAGATGTGACAGTGCATGTCTGACTGTGCCCAAAGACTGGCCTGGAAGCTGAGAAACATCTCATCTTCCAGCTTAACGTATGGCGAGCATAAAACCACAAAACTCTTACAGGGTTCCTCTTATGAGCTGTTTACTTTTACCACCATATCCTCTAAATCTTAAGTTCCCTTTTGCTTAAAAATTACCACCTTAGAATTACAGCCCCACTCCCTGCCATGGGCAGGGCTGCCCCCCACCAGCTCAGCTGCCCAGGACCCCATCCAACGTGGCCTTGAGCACTTCCAGGGATGGGGCACCACAGCTTCTCTGGCAGCTGTTCCAGCACCTCACTGCTCTCTCAGTAAAGAATTTCTTCGTAACATCTCACATAAATCCCCCCTTGTTTTTTACACTGTGGACATTTTGTCAGTCTCTCCAAGTTTGTCTTTTGACGAACTGCAAATTTTGGAAGGACGGATGCTTACA